AACGGGAACCCGCATCGGGTTCCCAGGAACGGGAACCCGCATCGGGTGCCGGGTTCCCAGGAACAGGAACCCGCCCCGGGTTCCTAAGAATGAGGAACCCTGTTGCAAATCGTTCAGAATAGAAATTTAGGTGCGGTTCCCAGTTTTTGGGAACCCGGTGTGGGTTCTCGTTCCTGGGAACCCAGGAACCCGGAGAGACTTGTCTCAAAACGAAAGAAAAAGTATGTGTATGAACTCTAGTCTGTTCAAAAATGCACAGAAATGAATTTTCAACTGGGTTCCCGTTCCTAGGAACCTGGAGTGACTCGTCTCAAAACGAAAGAAAAAGTATGTCTAGGAACTCAAGCGCGTTCAAACATGCACAGAAATGAATAACTAAGTGGGTTCCCGTTCCTAGGAACCCGGAACCCGGTGCGGGTTCCCGTTCCCAGGAACGGAATCCGAAACTGACACCCCTAGATATCATAGACAAGTGCTAGTCGCTGAATAAATTCTAGGATAGGTTTTCTCTGGATCGGGATTACACCTAGATTAGATTCACTGAGACTAGAAAAAGTCTAAAAAAAAAGAGCTGTCCGCATAGGCTGTCATCGTGGAGTTATGAATATCTTATCGGATTTTCGACTTATGGCAAGGCATTCATGGAAAAACTAAAAAGATGAAATTTTCATGTGAACTTTTGTTCATAAATAGGCTCCTTAGGATATCCTAAAAGTTTCTATCAAACTAAAGAAGAAACCATCCGTTTTAGCTGGAATTTTCATGAGTTTTTAAGAATCATAAAACCTAATAGATGGTCCGAAAGTTTCCGCACCAAATGTTTCTTCATTTTTCGACCGATTAAGTATGTCAGTAGAAACTTTCAAATAATGGGTTAGATTCAGAATTTATGCTCTGAATTTTTGTAGGACTCATAGTTTAGAAGTTATGAGCGAATCTTTGGAAGGCTCAAAAATAAAGTTTGGACGGAAGCAGTTGAATTAACAGATCCAAAGAACCAAAATGTGATCGTATGTCTTTTGGAATTGATTTTCTGCTCTTTTTCACCAATCTTTCTCAGCACTATCTTATTTCCGTCGTAAAGACGTCCAATTTAGCTTAGCCCAAGTTCCTTTTCCTTGATTACATCGCGTTTTGAAATTTTTTGGATCAGCATCTTGACAACATACGTCCTTCTCAACAATAATATCCCTTATTGAATTCCTTCTATTATCAATTTTTTACACAGTGTCAAGGGCGAGTCCATTCTTTACAAAGTGAGCTAAGAACTGAGCATCTTTTCAGAAATAATCAAGCTCTTTTTGACAGTCTGGAAAACAGGCAATTTCGAAAACATCTCTGTGTCTCTTACTAAAACTCTCATTACTCAGAGAAGCCTCATTGTAAATTAATGATCAGGCTATCATTTTGTAGAGAAATGTTTAGTCTTTCTTCGGAGGTATCTGAAATAAATTTTACATTTACTTTGGACGTTTTTTTGTGCACTGAAACCTGTCCAAACTTTGTTTTTAAGCCTTCCAAAGATTCGCTCATAACTCCTAAACTATGAGTCCAACAAAAATTCAGAGCATAAATTCTGAATCTAACCCATTGTTTGAAAGTTTCTACTGACATACTTAATCGATCGAAAAATAAAGAAACATTTTGTGCGGAAACTTTCGGACCCCCCGCTATACAGAGAGTAAACACATAACTTTCTAAAATCTTTTTCATAAATTTATTTCCTAATAAATTCTTTTATATAATTAAATTTTCATTCTAGAATTTAGCTGAAGCTGAATATATTGTTGCTGTTTATATGTATATGCGTTTACTTGGTTATCCAGCTCAGAAAATTTCTATATTAACAACATATAATGGACAAAAATTTCTTATACGTGATGTACTTAATAAACGTTGTGGAAAAAATCCTCTTCTTGGACTTCCAATGAAAGTAAGAATAAACTTAAAAATTGAAATAAAATTTTTATTTATTTATCATCAAATTTTATTAGGTAACAACTGTTGATAAATATCAAGGTCAACAAAATGATTATATTCTTCTTTCACTTGTTCGTACAAAAGCTGTTGGTCATTTACGGTAAATGAAAAAAAGAAATAAAACAAAAAAATATTTATTTTACTTTGTTTTTTTGCAGTGATGTTCGTCGATTGGTTGTTGCAATGTCTCGAGCACGTCTTGGTTTATATATATTTGGACAAGTTAATCTATTTGAAAGGTAATTTAATTAATTAAATTTTTCTTGATAACACAAAAAAACAAACAATTTTTCATTGAATTTAGCTGTTTTGAATTAACACCGGCTTTTAATTTATTAACAAAACGTCCAATTAAATTATATTTATTACCCAATGAAACATATCCAAGCATGCGTGAGGTTTGTTAGAAGAAAATAATACTAATAAAATAAATAAACAATTTAAATTTTTTGTAGGAAAAACGTGATCAATCGATTGTACATCAAGCAACTGTTATGGAAAATATGCCACAAATGGCTGATTTTGTTTATAAATTTTATAATCAAAAATTAATTGCATATCAAGAACAAAAACGCGTAAGATTTTATTTTTATTAGAAATCAAATTTTCTATTGAATTCTTTTTGTTTTTTTTTTTTTTTAATTTTAGCAAGAAGAATTATCTCGTTATGATCCTGAACGTGATCTACCATATGATCCATTACAACCATCGATTCGTGCACCTGATGAACGTATTATTAATGAAAATTCAATAGATAATTTATCAAATGAACAAATAATAAATGAAAAAAATTCTACAACAGAATATATTCCATCACGACAACAACATCAAGTATCTGGTACAACATTTCGACATGATCCAAATATTGAAAGTTCAACTATTGAAAATCGTGATGATGATGATGATGATGAAGATGTTTATGATCCAAATAAACCGACACTTTTTCAAAAAATTCAACCACAAACATCAAATACAACTGAACAAATACAATCAACACCAATGAACGTTCCATCAGATACAACTGCACCAAAGAAAACTCAAAGTGATGAAGGTAAATTTTAATGAGACAATAGCCTAAATGTATAGAAAATTTTTCGATGAAAAATATTAAGAATAACCCCTATTTCTCAACTACAGTACATCCGACCGAGGTGAAACTTTCTTCTACTCATATTAAAAAATGTTTAGAGTGTCTACTTTATTTTGTTTCAAAAATATGATGTGCCAGATTTACAAAAAAGTTCCAGTTAACATGCATTTTTGAAGGTGTTTTCAAAATTTCGATGCTTTTATTCGAATGGAATAAAATAAGAAGTAATCAAAGAAAATTAGGCAATCCGAACAGTGCCTAGTATTTGTAAAAAGGAATGTTTATTCCTATCAGGCATTTTTTAAGTCTATGACAACTTTTGCTCTGCTCATCGAGATCGTTCTTTCTTAGAAATTTCAAAATTTTCTCATGAGACTTTCTCTGATAGTACCGGAAAGATGGTGGAGTCTTCATGGTCTATCCAAACTAATTCCATCGGTCAAGGTTCATCACAACCTCAATGAGCTCTGTTCAGAAGAGATTACTAAGTGGATAGCTTTGACAAGTCAAAAATGACTTCCTCCTTGACAGTAGAATTTATCTACAAGCAATTAATCCCACATTTAAAGTTTGCTATATGTTTAGCAACATTTATCATCAGCCTATTAGATCCAATTTCGAATTCTTGTCATTTAAATCTTCTCTTTTTTAGAACCTACTGATGCATCGGAAGATGACTTGAATAAGGTATGCTGTTTTATAAAGTTTATATTTCAAAAAATATATATTTATTTATTCTTTTGCTCTTAGGCGGCTATCTTTCGCAGTGTATTCCATCAAGACAATGAAATGGATACAATCCCAGCATTGAACGATGAAAACTAGTCTTTATATTTGTTTAAAAAAACGTTTTTTTTTTCTTTGAACAAGTTTTATTGTTCAGTTGTGTATTGAAATAAAAAAACGAGAAAAGATTTTCCATTGAATTACTTAATGTTCTTCGAAAATCAATTGTAATCTTTGTAGTTTCTTTATCACAAGATGTCGGCTTGAATACAATAAGAAAGTTATCTACTAAAATTGATTCATATTCAATTTTCAATAGATAAATGAAAATTTTGTGCTGTTTCAACATCTTTATATTCAGTAATAAATTGATGTGTTTTTTTTCTCCGTACGTAAAAATTTTGTCGTTAAGAATTTTTCATCAAATGTCACCACAAAAAAAAAACAAATGTATCACGATCATAACATAAACCATAAATTTGTTCGAGAACATCTACATCCATAATATCATCATCTAGTTCATATTATTTTTAAAGTTGTTCAACAATAGTTTCATATCAAGGTTTGTCATCATTAAGATCACATTTAAAATTAAGTAATCGTGGATGTATTGATTTTAAATCATATGTCATATGTGCTTGATGTAAAAAAATAAGTATCAAATAATGTTAATCGACCAGGTATACTTTTCCAAAGATCAAATGTTCTCCATCCAACACGATCAAACCTTGTTTTGACATTTATCGAATACCCATTCGACCGAGAAATATTATTAGCATACATTTAAGTTCGATCCTATGTCCAACAAGATAATTAGCAATAGATCAAAAAAATTTTGAATTTAAAGATAATTCAATAATTGGTTAAGAATTTTCATCAAAAGGAACAAGATCATATTCTTCAACGATTAATTTACCTTGCAATCAAAGCATGTAAACAGATTTTTCTGTTCTATGATCATTTGTTTCTAAAAGATCAGGTTGTATTTCATTTAATTTATCAATAAATATTTGTACGGATGATTTAGAATAACGGGTGGTGCAAAAGTTTTGCATTAATTTTGTTTTTGATATAAACCTGCGATGCAACGTCATAGAGACTTGATGTTTTTTTTTTTTGTTAGAAAGAGCAAAGTGTCTAGTGCAAAAAAACATAAAAGAATTTGATTGGAAATATTTTTCGAAGGTCAAAAAAATCTAAGAACAAAGGACGCCGAAAAACGCTTCTGCAACTTTTTTGAACTTTGAAAAACTTTCATATAATTTAGACAAGTTATCTTTTTATTCGTCTAATCCAAATTTTATTATTTAAGGATAGAGTACTATTGTTGTACAAAAAAGAGAAATTCTCTACATGTTGTATAACGGGTGAAATGAACGCTTTTATGAGATCGTCTGAGTCACCAATTTTTCATCATTGTTGATAGTCGTCGAAAAAATAAACTCTATTCCGAGAGAGAGGTTGCCAGAATCTATATATTTTATAGAAATAAGATAGCTTATTGAGTTCTCTACCAAACCATATTATTTTCAATAGAACGCAGCTTCTCTGTGATATATTCAGACAACAATTTGTGTTCACGTTGAAAAGCCAAATTTGTACAATGAACTTTTTTTAACCAAACTGTCTTCTGTTCATCCTCTTGTATGCTATATTAATTATTTTAATACTAAAAGAAAGGCTTCATTGTAATCAACAACTGTATATATACGGTATTTGAAAGCGTCGAAACTGGGTAATGAAAAAGGTTAAACAAATATTTTTGGATAAACAAAATGTGATCAAAGTTGCAAAAGAGTTTTCCGGCGCCTTTTGTTCTAAGATTTTTTTGATCTTCGAAAAACATTTCCAATCAAATTCTTTTATGTATTTTTGCACTGGACACTTTGCTCTTTCTAACAAAAAAAACATCAAGTCTCTATAACAATGCATCGCAGAGTTATATCAAAAACAAAATTAATACAAAACTTTTGCACCACCCGTTATGCATTACCTTCAGTTTTTTCTCTACTTTCATCATCTAAACTACAATTTTTTTTTGTCCATCAGCAAATGTAAAACATGATTCAAATAAACTTTGATCAACATTTGTAAAATTAATTGCATGTTCAACATCATTACCTGTTATAATAGATCGACCAGATGGTATCAATATATGGATCATTATCATGTATACACATTAAAAAATGACATTTAGCAACAAATATTCTCTCACATTCATTTACATAACGTGACATGACTTTTTTAAAATCTGAATGTATTGATTACAAATTATTATTTGAATAAACTAATGCAATAGCATTTAATAGTATATGATTTCGAATAAGATGTATCAAGACTTAGATTTTGTGTTGAATCATTTTATCATAATGAAACATATTTTGACTTATTGGCTAGGTCTTCTGTGTCCTTTCCTATTATACAAAGATTATTCGATAGATGCCTTGTCTTTTCTCATGAATAAAAGAAAATGTAACTATCAAAATATCATTAAATGTAAAAACAAGCTGTTACTTAGTGAAGCAAATGGTATAATTATAAGAATCTGTTTCATTCGATTCATGGCAAATCAATTGACTATATATTTTATTTATACAAAATGTGTAAAATAGCTATAAAACTAAGTTTCTGTTTTCTTTTGTTACAAATATACAAAAAAAAACAAAAGGAAAATATCAGATCTATTAAATTAGAATATTAAAATAAAATCTGCATTGAAAGAAAAATTATTCTTGATAAATATAAATAAGATGTTCGATTACAACCTGTATATGTACATGAATAATACATTTTTTCATCCTGAGGATATTTTACTTCAATACATTGATTATCCATATGACATGGTGTACAAAAACATTTTGTTGCCACAGCACCTTTAACAAACAAATTATGTCATAAATCAAAAGGAAAACTTCATTAATATGTCAGATTAAAAAAAATAAATGATTCTTAAAGTATAATTAAATAGTGTTTCCGTCGAGATAAAATGAAAAAAGCTTAGCATTAAAAATATGTGTAATTTATTTAGTACTAGCTCCGCTCATAGCTGATAGAAGATAATTCTTTCGATCGGTAACTGTTTGTACAGAAAAACAGAAATTTGTATCGAAGATTAAAAAATCAACATAATGGCGTAGATTCATCTTTGATCAATGGTACTGCCAATTTCCGTATTGCATAAAATTGAAAATTTTCATCTTCGAACTTTTTCTATTTAATCTATCGTCATTTCCCTGTGTTGATAGTTATTTTAAAATTCTTGTGTGTGACTGACAAGAGAACATCGTCAAGTACTAAATTGCTTCGAAGATAGTTCTTATCTCATTTGGTAGGTTCTATGCGGACTGGTAAAAATCATGAAGAATTCATGCTGATGGGTCTTTCGTATGAGATGATGTCCATTTTATAGATTATCTTCAAAATCGATTTTCGAGTTGAAAAAATAAAGTTTTCAATAGGACTAGTTGAATATGTATGGCGATGTCAGGCTTTTCGACTAGGAAAAAGACTTGGCCTTCCTCCATAATGTGCAACTTCTAGTAATTTTTTACATCTTCATGTTAACTTTCGATAGAAACTGATTTTTGAAACAATATTTGCCTTGCACTGGCAAAAAATGAGATCAAAATAAGCAAACAATTTCGTTACTAGGGCGATCGGATAGGGACAGATCCTATACGAGAGACCGAGTTACAAGGGGTTTTGTTCTTTTCTCCGCTCCGGTCATCATTTCGAGAATAACTCCGAACAGTATGAATCTTCTATTCACACCTTAGTTTAAAACTTCTAATTAAATCGCCATCACTGAAGAAGAATAATTTACGAGTACGAATCCTGTTCAAATTTTATTCGAGTCTACCTAATGAAGTAAGACTCATCTGAAACGCAATTTATCCTTTAGCAAGGTTCTTCCATTAGCATGAATGAAAAAAAAAATAGTTCAACCTTCAAAAACAGCAATAGTCTTTATACAAAATCGAGCATTTTGTACACCATCAAGTCCTCCACATTCAACAGGAAGTATATCTTTACGTGTCCATGTTTCTGGACAATGTTCATCTTCTTTTGAATCATATACAAAACAATTTAATGAATATAAAACTAAAAATAAACATATGAAAATTTTCATAAATATATTCTCTTTTACAATCAATTAAAATTGTTAATAAAATAAAATAAATAATTAAATATTTCATATCAGATCTACAAAAGTTTATCTTTAAAAATAATTTTAAAAAAAAGAGACAAAAGCTTCGTGTTTATTCATGTAAACATATATATATATATGTAAAATAGACATTTTTAAAAAAAAATGAGTGTTAGTTTATCAAAGAAATTGTGAACAAAATGCTTCAATTGCATCCGCACATTGTTTAGCTTGATAACGATTAGCACCGGCATTATCACGAATCCAAAGTTCAAAATAATCTTTATTCTTCAATAATGTTAAATAAATACCTAATAATTCATAAGCCTAAAAATAATAAAATTAATTTAGTACATTTTTTGAATAATTCACAAACAATACTAAATAAATGCGTACTAGATCTTGAAATAGATCGTTCGGTCTAATGACATTTCTCAAATAAAACAGCAATTGATCTTGATCTTTCAGTTCGAAAAGTAATTCGACTTATCTCTCATACTATTGTTTTAAGCATTAACGTTATCTGATCTTAGATCATTATGATGATAAACTTTTTACGATGTTCTAATAAATAAGGGTACGCTTCTGAGTCAGAACTATATACACCATGTAGGCTCTAATGAGCTATCAATACATTGAAAAGAGTTCATGGTAATAAGCTTATCATTGTCGAAGTACTGTGTTTTCTAGTATAATACCGTGATCCACTTCAGAGAAGCTGAGTTTCGACTTGAAACTTTGCATAGAGACAGACCTTAATGAGAATAGTTTATTGTAAAAGTTTCAAATCTTTTGATTGCTGCTATTCTAAGATACAACTATGGTAAAAGCAGATCTCTCATGCCACTTATATACAACGGCAAATTCCGATGTTTGTATTAATCACAAAAATCTGAAATTTTCATAATAAGCTATTCTTATTAAAGACTGTCTCTATGCAAAGTTTCAAGTTCAAATTCAATGTTTCTGAGGTTAGTCACGACATTTTGCTAAAAAGAATTCAGTACCGCGACAGTAATAAGTTATTAGTTCGAACTCTTTTCAAAGAATTTATAGTTCATTAGAACTTACATGATGTGCATAGTCTCGAATCAAAAACGATTTAACATTTAGAAAATGTTCTTTTATGAGTCGAGCTTGACCGTTATGAACAATTCTTGACTCGATTTCGAGAACTAATGTACATGTATCGATATTTCATTTATTACTATGTCTATTATAAACATACTTTTTTAATACCAGATTCTTCTAAATTACTTGCTAATTTTGGTCCTAAGCCAGGTACTTCACTAAGATGTTTATCTTTTAATGGTTCACCAGTAAAATCTCGAAATTTTTGTGATGTTGTCGATGACATTATTAAAAATCTAAAAGTATATATGACAAAAAAACAAAAAAAGCAAGTCAAAATATATCCACAAATCTTGATTTTTATTTATTTATAATATAAAAGAATAAGAATAAAAATATTTCAAATAAATGCATCAGCCCATTCGGATAATGCTTGTGCTGCTGTTTTTGCTTGATGACTATTAGCTCCACATTGTGTTTGTATCCAATCTTGAAATTCTTCAACATCTTTATGACATAACAAATATTTACCAAATAAAGTATATGCCTAAATGTAAAAAACAAAAAAACAATTATTTTAATTCAATAAAAATAAACTTTTTCATAGCCAGCTTCAGATAATTTTCCACCAAGAACATCACCTATACCAGGAACATCTCGAATATTTTTATCACCAATTGGTTCAGCCATAAATTCACGAAATTTTTTTGTTGTTGTTGAACTCATTGTTACTGTATACAAAACTAGACGAAAAATAATATTATAAAAAAACAAACGTTTGTTTTTCTTTCCAATCAACAAGAAATGAATGAATCATATCTATAGATGGTGATTCGTATACGTATATAAAAACAATGAATTGGTTGGTTAACTATTTT